TTTATTTTATAGTAAATTATTATTTAAACTCTATTTTATCGATCTTATGTTTAATATAGCACGAAAATCTGTTCATAGTAAAATTAACAAGGTTGCTGACATAGTTTTGATTAATTAATCAGTGTGTCACCCTAATATTGTATGGTCAGCGAAATGAAATTGCGTTCAAAATATTTATTACATGTGTTATTGCATCTTATACAGCACACAAAAGCTGGGTGAGGCTAGATTCTGTTCAAACCTTATTATTTTTTTTTTGTAAATGAAAATAATAACTGATAAGTGATATCACGTGTGGATGCATTTGACAGTTATCGTTACAACGCATGATTACCTAAAATGATATCATTATAAAAACTGTTCGACACATTTCTATTCTTTTTTGATTTTTGATTTTTTTGATTTCATTGAAATTTTTTTTAAAAAAAAAAAAAATTTCAAAAATTAGGAAAATTAACAAATAAGATTCGTTTAGGGTAAAATTACAACAAAATTCCCTAGATAAAAAAAATTATTATAATAATACTTTTAAAATTTAACTTAATTGTTGTCCCCCACCAAAATTTCCATCATTATTATCACCTTTATTATACTTTTCTATTATATTAAAATCATTTTCATTATTATTCCCATTATCGTTACTACTACCTTCTTTATTATAACTCCCTTTAAAATTGTTATAATAAATATTACGAATACCATTATCTTCTACGAATAATACATCGTCAACATCATCAAAAAAATCTTTACTATTTAAATTTATTAATAAAGTTCTCAAAAATGATTGTTCATATTTTGTATTTTCAAATATTACGGCTAAATTATCTGAAGGACATCTTAAGAAATTTGGGGCAAATACCATAGCCAAATTATGTATATTCATTTTTGTCATCCTAATCGTTTGGGGATCGGCAAATTTCTGTTTAAGGGAAAAGACGAAACAAAAGTTTAGTATTCTTTACCAAAGAAGATTCATCTTAAAGTTAAATTTTTTTTTTCTTTACCAACCTGTAAGAAATTAATGGTAAAAGCAACAACTCTTTGATTAATTAAAGGTAATTCCTTGACAATATCAACGGCAGCCTTTTTGTCTTCAGAAAATTTAATACATTTATCATAGAATGTATCAGGTATAAGTGGTTCAGCCAAATCTCTCAGCCAAAATTTTAATAATGATGATGGTACATTTGGATCACTTATACCACTCATATCATATCTATTTTTTTCTATCCTCAATTTCTAAAGTAAAAAAGAAAAAACGAAAAGACGTCAAAGTATTGTTCAAAAAAATTTCAATTGAAATCTTTGAAATCATACTTTCAAATTTACTTACCAATTCGGTTACATAATCAGCATCCCCTGGTACACGAAATATTCCTTCACTAAATTGACCATTTAATTCTAAAATAGCGTGTGCAAGAAATGGTAATATCCTAGGTATTTTAAGTTGTGGAAAAGCTTGTTCTTGTAATTTCATTATAAATCCCAAATTTTCTCCAAAAACTGAAGGACTAAATGGTGCTTCCTATGTTAAAGAGAAATTTTTTTTTTTTTTAAAAAGGGTAGATTTTAATGACAATTAAAGTTGGCGCTGAGTTATTCCTAAACTCACCTTAGCTCTCTCAATTTCAGCCAATGTCAGCGCTTTACCACGTGGACCTCGTTTACATATTCTTAATAGACGATTATGTACATGTTTGCTCAATATATCAACTTGATTTTCAGTTTTTGAAAAATGGTCTACAATATATTGCATTAAATATGCTTCAAGATTTTTTGAAGGGGGGAATGTAACTGTTACCACACTTAATAATTCCCATCCTTTCCTTATACTTTCCCTATTATTAAAAAAAAAAAAAAAAAAAAATTTAACACTTTTTTCTTGGATAGATCTCTTCAAAATTTTAATAATACCTACATATTGGGATTGTCATTTAGTTGTTTACAAATTTGTACATAAATTTCATCCCTCAATTCACCATATAATATTCCGCGATCTAACAACCACTGTATATCTTCTAGCACATTTGCGGGCCCATTCCTTCCCTTGGATCGATCTCCCATTATACGTTGAATTACTTTAAAACATTTTATTGCATCTTTTTGTACATTAGTATTAAGTACCATCAAAGATTGATTAATCAAATCCTAACATAAAAAATAAGAAGGTTGAGTTTGTGAACATTTTACTTCGCTTCCTTTTTTTTTTGACATTACCTTTTGAAATAACAACATCTTTTCTACAGGTACTTTCTTTCTAAATATTCCTTTTTTATGAGTGTTAAAATACTTTCTAGCGAAACCATCAATTCTAAATTGATTTATATCTTTTTGTAATTCGGGTGGTAATGTCATAACCTCCCTATTTTTGTACCAAGCAAAAATCGGTATTAGTATATTTGCAGTTATTTGCTCTAAAATCGATTTTCTTCTTGAATATATCCAATCCATTTTTTAATATCAAATTTTATTTTAAGAAACGAAAAAAGAAAAGAATTGTTGTTCTCTTTATTAAAGGGTATAAAGAAAAGAAAAGAAAAAAAAAAAGAGTTGAAAAGGAGAAAATAAGAAAAAAAAAATTTCTTTTTTTAGCAGACTCACCCAGTACTTAACTTCCTCGTATGCACCTGATAAGCCGGCTTTTTACGTTGTAGATCCTGATATAAGCTCCCAGTAGGCTTCATTGCAGCTGCAGCATCTGAAACAATCCAAAAAAAAAAAAAATAATAAAAACAAACAAAAAAAAAAAAAATTTTTTTAGTGACTTATATAACTAAGTTTCATGTATAAATTCAAATCAAAACTAAATATAAAAAGACCGTGCATCATAATATAAATAGAATATGTGTCATGCACATGTAATGCAATGCACGATTATAACTATCCGCCAAGATACTTCAAAGTTTTTACCTTAATCTAAAAATAATATAACTACTTACCAATATTTACTACAGGATTA